TGAGGAATTAGACAAGGGTATTCTATCCAAAACCCCAAAACCCCAAAACCCCAAACAAGAATTTAAATGAGATTTGAATTGAATTTAATATTAGGAAAGAGAGAATATTTATAATCGATATGTTACTATCTAATTTTGATCATTTTAGATTTAGATTTGCAAATAAACTTGGAGGGCTGTAGGTCTCCTAATCAGAAGTCTACTCTTCATCATTCTACTATAGCTCTTATTGATTGAGTTCTGATTCTTATTGTTCTGTCTCGCTGACTTGTAATTACTAGGATTCATCTATTTAGTCAAGATTTTATTCTTCAAAGTTAGATTCTTGATTGACTTCTAAGTTAGCTTGACCTTATACCTTGGTCTAAAGATTTGAGAATAGATCAAATCCTGAGGGTTTAATTAATTCCTAGACATTACTTTCTTAAATCTAAATTTAAGTTTCCTAATTTTAATTTTCAGCGTCTTCCTATAGGTTTTCTTCAAGTTTATTTTCTTCTTCCTCTTCAACTTATTTAACTGGCTCATCATCAAATTTAATACCAAGATCAGGGGGCTTATAATCATTTTCTGAAATTGCAGGAGGAATATATGGAGCTTCATATAAATTAGGTGGTTGGTAATCATCCTCTGCTTAAGCATCATTATTTTCTTCATCTTCTTTATTTTTATTGTCGATAGATTGATCATTGATATTGTATTAATTATCATTTTCCTAGTCTAAAATATTATCCATATCGTCATTAGCTGTTGTAATTTCAATCTATAACTCTGGCAGCTTTTACTATTAAATGCTATCTATTTCATTCTGAAGAATTTCAGCTTGATCGAAATCATCATTTGCAACAGCTTCCTCAATTTCTGACTCTAACTACTTTACTCTTTCCTCTAACTACTAAATTTCTCTAAGAATTTCCTGCTTACTCCTTTTTTACTATTGCTATTGTTTTTCTTGTTGTACTTAATCCTCTTCTTCAAGTTCAAATTCTTTCTTAGGAGAAGCTGATTAGATTCTACTTGTTTCAACTGCTGGCATGTTTGCAACGAGATTTTATTCATTAGATGAGGTTGAACTATCTACATTATATTTTACAGGCTATTATTATTATTCTTGAACATAAGTGCTTCCTTTCCTAATTTTGAATTCACCATATTTTTTCTCTAACTCAAAGAGCTCATTATCGATCTTCAATAACTCATTTTCCAGACTTTCAGTCTTTTTCTTTTGATTACTCTATGCTTGCATTAATTTTAAGCTATGAAGAAGATCAAGGATATCCTCTTTTCTATAACTCAATAGTTTTAACTGTACTCTCTCAAATTTCTCCTAATTTTCCTTTAGCTATTGATCAAATGATTTGATTTCATCTTCTCTTTTTTCGATATCCCTTTCTATTATATCTTTTTCTTTTATCTGATCACTAAGCGATTCTTAAGCATCTTCAAGCTATGCAGTATATTCTTTGATCTCAGCCTAGGCTTTTGATGCTTCTTTGAATTTCTTGGCTGCTGCAGCTTTTTTCTTTTCTTGTTCTTGCTTAGCTATTTTCTTTTCAAAGCTGGTAATTTAACTCTAAAGATCTTCAATCTCTGCATCTACTTTAGCCTGCTTATCAATTATGAATTCTTTATTAGCCACAGCATTATCTCTCTTGATCTTTACCTGATTTATTTCTTGTTTGATCTTAAATGCTGTGTCTTTGCAGCTCTCCTTCTCGCTAAGTGTGCTATCTAAGCTTTCAAAAGTCTTCCTAAGTTACTTTTCAAACTCTTCAAGCTCTTTTAACTCTTTTTAAAAGCCATCTATTCTAGTCTTGTAGGTCTCTTCATATTCTGCTAGATCTGATTGCTCTCTTTTGAGCTCATCAAGATCTTTGACATTCTTATCTTCATCTTTCACAACCTTATCCATTTGTCTCTCATGCTTGAGAATCTACTCTCTAAACTTCTATCTGCTCTTATCAATCTCTCTCTCAAATTATGCTCTCTACAGCAACAACTACTCTCTTTATTACTTTTTTCTTTCTAGCATTTACTCTATTTCTTCTATTTCACTGTTTATTTTATCTATGTTGCTATCTACAACATCTTTTTCCACTTATTATGGCTTTGTATCTTCATAAACCTAGTCTTCAATCTGCTAAAGCTTCTCATTGACCTTGTCCTTTTACTTTTTGATGTCCTTCGAAATCTCATCAATTCTAATACTCTCATAATGCAATCTCTTCTTTTTCTCTTCAATTGCATTCATTTCAGATTCTTCAAACTATGCCATATCATCTTATTATTTGTCCTTAAGTTCATTCATCTTGTCCAAAGACTTTTAGATTAATTAACAGAGTTCTCTGTATTTATCACTCTTCTTATTTTCTAATCCCATATGATCCTCATCTAGTCTTTTAATTTATGACTCTTTAGAGCTTATGAGGTTTTTTGTTTGGGTAAGTCTCATGTTTAAAGCGTCTGCTTCTTCATAGTCTTCATTTTCAATAGCCCTTTATTGTTAGGTAGTAGTATCTTCTAATTTAAGTTGAAGAATCTCGATATCCTTTTCAAGATTGACTATCTTGTCGGATAGATCTTACTGCTTCATTGTAAATTCAATGATATGATTCTTTATTTTGTTTATTCTTTCCTCAATAATATCCTTTGACTCGTTGATCTCCTCAAAGTTATCATCTTTGTTGTCTTTTAAAGACTTTTCGATCTCAAAGTTGCCTACACTTGTGTTTAGTCCTATTCCTGGAGGAGAATAATTATTAGTCTGTTAGTTATCTTGCTTTTGTCCGGAACCAGTATTTGATAAGAAATAGAAGTTGTTTTCTGAATTCTAAGGTTACTAGGTCTAATAGGTATTCATAATGTTGGGCGGCTTATTTAAATAGTAATTGGACTGATTGACATCAGCTCTCTCAACTTCTTCGAAACTGTGTTTACTCACATTATTGATCGATGAAATTGAGTAATCTTCGTGCTTGAAGTCTGATTTTTATCTCTATGGCTATGACGCGCTTTCATCTTTTTGGTTAGATGTCTGATTTTGTTGAGGTAAGCTGCTACTTGATCCAAGGAAGCCGAAACCTGAAGACTTTGCAGTTGAGGTATTTCCTGATCCCTGATTTAGTTAGTTATTAAGTGAGGTATTATTGCTTGACTCTCCTGCATTTGGTTGGGAGAAATTTATACCAGAAAATGCGTCTTCAATGCTCATCAGTTTCTAGGGTTAATGCTAAGTATTTATGTTAGAACTTATGCCTGGTAGTGTAAAGAACGGATTGCTGTTAATATCAATCAATTGTTAGGGTTATGAGCTTCCATAAGGATTTTGCATTAGGTTAGATGACCTTGTATTGAGATTTAGTTGAGAGAATAAATCTAGAGATTTATTGTTCTGATTTCCACTAGTGTTTAATTAGTCTGAACCTTATGATTGCAATGTTTTGCTTTCTTGGAGACCAGCAAATAATGGGTTTATATTGCTAGAGCCTGATGTAGTTGCCACATTTTATTGCTAAGATGGCTGCTTATTGACGTTTAACATTCCAAATAGACCAAGTGTGCTATCTTACTGAGGCTAATTTTAGTAGTTGGTGTTATTAGATGAAGAGAGTCCTCCTAAGTTGAAACCAGAAGAGTTTGCTCCGAAATTTGTGTTCAAGGTAGTAGGCTTTGTGTTTAGACCCATAAATAAGCTAGGAGGAGCATAAATGTCTGAGTTTGCTTTGTCTTCAGCTAATGTCTCAGGTTGCTATTGAGTCTTCACTGAGGATTGAATTTCTGCTTACTTTGAAGTATTTTTTAAGCTATTTAAATCTAGTTTTTATGCTTATGTTGCTGGTTAAATAATCTCGCTTTGACTTAGTTAGTTTTATGCAACTTGATTTTTCTCCTCTTCACTAGAAGTCTTTTCCTATTATGGCATTTAGCTTTTAGAGATATCAGGCTATTTAGTCTGATTTGATTTCTATTATGGGGGCTCTTCTTGCTTTTTTCCAAATATTCCTAAGAAAAAAGAGGTTAATGATATTATTTATTTGATAGGATTACGCCATACTTACCTGAGAATAGAAAACTCATTTGATTATTAAAAAAGATTATTATTTTTGTGATTACAAACAGTGAATTTGGCCAAAAGGGGTTTTGGGGTTTTGGGGTTTTGGGG